AGCCTTGTAGTATTATTTGACTTTTAAACTTTGAAAATTATTATTAGCTGCAAAAAGAGAATACCACTATTCTGAAACTGGGCCATCTCTTTGTAGCCTTTCCCTGGTGGTTGTTTCAGTGCCTATGCATTCAAGTCTCTAAAGGGTTCTACACAAACCAATGTATGTCATTTTGGAGATTATTTTTCAATGAAAAAAACCTAGGAACCAAATCATATTTTCTTCTTTCTCTCTCTCTCTCGTGAGTGTGTGTATCCTGGGCTCTGGATCATTGTTGATATGAAGATGAATAAGGTACATCCTAGAGTTAGGCAGGTAGGTAAGCAGAAAGTAAACAAGTAATTTTAATGCAATATGGTATGTGTTATCATGGAATATGCACAGGTTATTAGCGGGGAAATAGGAAGGGCGTGTAATTCTTCCACAAGAGTTGGAGAAAATGTTTGGAAATGATTTTGCCTAAACTGAGTTTTGAAGGAGGAGCTAGGTTGGGAGCTGGAGGAGTACTCATCCCATCAGAGGGAACAGCATGAGTAAAGGCATGGAAACATTTTTAAAAAAAAAGGTATATGAGAGGATCTATAGATAGAATTTGGAGTCACTAATGCATATGCTGCAGTATTAAGTTTGGGTAGGGAGCAATGACAGATGAAGCTGGAAAGTGTGCAAGGACCAGGTCGTCTGGTAGGCAATGGAGAAACAATAATAGACTTTAAGCAGGGGAGTGTTGTGCTAAGATTTGTATTTTAGAAAGAATACCCTGACAGCACTGTGGATGTTGGATTTGATGGGGCCAAGATTGGAGGTAAAGAGACCACTTAGAATGCTATTTAAGCAGTCTAGGGGAGAAATGATGAGGGCCTGATTATAGCAGTCATAGTATGGTATCTGAGGACATCCAACTGTTTAAAGTTAGAAATTCAGAGGATGTTAGAGAAGTATACTAGATACTAGAGAAATACTGGCATCATAAGTACATAGATAGTAGGCAAAAGCCACTAGAAACCACCCAGAAAAACATGCAGAGAGAAAAGATCTGTGAGCTGATCACCAAACTCTGAGAGACACCATGTGTAAAAGCGTAGGTGGAGAAGGAAAAGAAATGGTTGGAAAGGTAGAAAAGAAAATTAAGAGAGAATGGAAGCCAAAGAAATAGAGGGTTATAAAAAAGAGGGTGTGGGTACAGTGTGAGGATGAATCAGAAACATTTCTCTGATTAATTTGTTCTGTCTCTTCTCCTGATCATCCCTCCCCTTTCTGTTTTTAACTTCAGTTGCCTGCACTATCTTTTGTCTAAGCATTTCCATTATTATCTTTACTATATTCTATTTTCCCTTCATCTTTTTATTTTGAAAAATTTAAAACTTTAAGAAAATTTGCAAGAATAGTATAATGACCACTCATATATTCCATTCACCTAGCTATTCACCAATTGTTAATTTGCAGTATTTATGATCTCTGACAGAGTATGTGTGTATAGGTGCTGTTGAGTCAGTTCTGGCTCATAGCGACCCTATGTACAACAGAACAAAACACTGCCCCGTCTTGCACCATCCTCACAATAGTTATGTTTGAGTCCATTGTTGCAGCCACTTTGTCAATACATCTCAGTGAGAGTCTTCCTCTTTTCACTGACCCTCTACTTTCCCAAACATAGTGTCCTTCTCCAGGGACTGGTCCCTGCTGATAACATGCCCAAAATATGTAAGATGAAGTCTCGCCATCCTGCCTTCTAAGGAGCATTCTGGCTGTACTTCTTCCAAGACAGATTTGTTTGTTCTTCTGGTAGTCCATGGTATATTTAATATTCTTTGCCAACATAAACATATATATACATATATACACGTATATATACATATATATTCAGTATTCTTTGCCAGCATAAATATACAAAATATATATGCACACATACATATATGCTTATATGTTTTGCACATGTATATATATATGCATATATAAATATATGCATATATGTATATATATATAATTATATATATCTGCAGTAGATTCCATTCTCTCTTAATTCTCTTTTCTACTTTTCTGACCATTTCTTTTCTGTTTCTTTCTCCATCTACCCCTTACAGATGATTTCTCTCAGAGTTTGATGATCAGCTCATAGGTCTTTTCACTCCTACATGTTTTTCTGGGTAGTTTCATCCATTCCAGTGGCTTTTGCTTACTACCTATACACTCACGATGCCAGTATTTCTCTAGTATATAGTATATTTCTCTAGTATCTACAGTACTTATATATAATTTTTTAGTTTTAGCTGAGCAGAGTTAGTTGCAGACATTATATTTCACTCCTAGATACTTCGACTTGTATGTCCTAAGAACATTCTCCTACAAAACCATATTCACAATCAATAAATTTAATCTTCATGTAATATTATTTAGTAGACAGTCCATATTCAAATTTCCTTAATTGTTTCAATACTATCCTTTATACTTCCTTCCTTCCCCCACTCCACATTGTACTTAGCTGTCATGTCTCTTTAGTCTCCTTTAATTCAAATCCCAGCCTTTTAATATACTTATTTGCCTTTCTTGACATTTATATTTTTTAAAAGTCCAGGCCAGTTGTTTTGGAGATTGTTTCTCAGGTTGAGTTTGTCTCAGTGTTCCTCCATGATCCTGTTGCCTTTTGTCTTTACCGTTTAAAACAAAAATATAATCTGTTACTCCCTTGTTTAAAAGTATTTGAAGGTGTGTTATCGACTGGAGCCCTGGTGGCATAGTGGTCAGCAGTTTGAATCCACCAGCCGCTCCTTGGAAACTCTATGGGGCAGTTCTGCTCTGTCCTACAGTCACTATGAGTCAGAATTGACTCTACGGCTATGGGTTTTTTGGTTTATCATCTACTAGATAAAATTGAAATTCCTTAGCATGACTATCAAAGCTTATCACAACTTTTTGCAGCCTCATTTCGCCCAGTGACTAACAGTTTGTATTTCAGATATACCACACACCACATACCTTCTAGAGTATTATCAGTTGTTCCCCTTGTTTGGGGGTATCCTCCTTTAGGTCAATTTATACCTAGCCTTCAAGAGTCTGTTACTTTATCTGACAGATATTTGTTGTGTGTTTGTAATCTACCTAGCACTATACTAGGTGCTGGGATACAACTGTGAACAAGACCAACATAGTCTCTGTCTTATGGAATTTATACTGGCTGAAATGTCATCTTTCTCATGCTTCTGTAGCCCTTTATACATACCTTTAATATAACATTTATCACATTGCATTGCAGTTTTTGTTTGTCTGTCACTTTTCCAGGGTAGGATAGGATAAATTTTATTCATCTTTGCTTCCCTAGCACCTAGAACATGTAGTTGTGTGCAGTCCCATAGCAACTCTACAGGACAGAGTAGAACTGCCCCATAGGGTTTCCTAGGCTATAATCTTTATGGGAGCAGATTGCCAGTTCTTTTCTCCTGTGGAGCCGCTGGAGGTACTAAATAATGTTTTATTCAATAAATGAATGAAAGAAATAATTCCTGCTAAGTGTTAGCTAGCATGTGTTCTGTCTTTTAGTTAAAGAATATGATTTAATCCAAGTAAATACTGGGAATCTCTTGTTTAGTGAGGTTTTTAGTCCTTCAAATCATTCCACACCTTCATTCGGTCAAAGGATGACCAAAACTATTTTCCAACAGGAAGATGCAATAAGCAACACAGTAAGAATTGCAATCATTCTGCAGGAGTTGGCACTGCTGCCTCTATTAAAATTCTACCTGGTGATATGAAATGTGCTTTGGCAAGGGATACTTCCAAAGCTGTGGCAACAACGGAAATGACAGTTGCATGTCATTACCATCTTCCCAAAACATATTTTTATGGAGGTCTCTTACACACTCCCCCCACTCAAACAGCCTTCAATTAATCAATTTCCACTGCCAGTTCAATTAGTTCCTTCCCGAAAATCCACAGCAGTACTTATATATAGTACTTGCTTATACTTAATTTTACATTTCAGGTTGTGCAGCATTTTTTCTAGTTCTGTTTAGTTTCTCTAAAAAGATTATCCAAAAAACCCATTGCCGTCAAGTCGATTCTGACTCATAAGGACCCTATAGGATCGAGTAGAACTGCCCCATAGGGTTTCCAAGGCTGTAAATCTTTGTGGAAGCTGACTGCCACATTGTTCTCCCGTGCGGCTGGTAGATTCAAATCGCCGACCTTTCAGTTAGCAGCCACGCGCTTCAACCGAACCACCAGGGCTCCTATCTAAAGAGATTACATCTCCCTAAAGCCTCGCCTAACACAGGATTAGTCACATAGTAGACCGCACATTTTTAAAATCGACACTCTAACGGAAGGTCAGACGATATTAAGACTGTATTAAAAAACCCGACCCGCTGCCATCTAGTCGATTCCAACTCATAGCGACAGCATAGGACAGAGTAGAACTGCCCCATAGACTTTCCAAGGAGTGGCTGGTGGATTTGATCTGACGACCTTTAGGTTAGCAGCGGTAGCTCCCCGTAGTTCTCAACCACTGCGCCACCAGGGCACCAATTAAGGAACATGGTAATACTGCCTGTGAAGAAATTATACCTTCTCGGATTTTAATATGCATGAGAAGCACGGGGGGCTGGGGTTGGGGTGGGGGGTCTTGTTAAAATGCATATTGTGATTCAGGAGGTCTGGGTGGAGCCCAGCAATTTGCATTTTAAACAAGGGCCCAAGTGATGCCGACGCTGCTGGTCCGTGGACCACACTTTGAGTACCAAAGATGTAAAGGAATGTGCAAAAGGAAGGCAGATGCCTTGCTCCAAAACATATTTTGTGGAGTGTTAAACAACAGAAATATGGTTAGGATGATGCCAGGCTGAGCATTTCTTTCCCAGCTTCAAACCTCCCCTTCCCCGCTCCGTCTCCCTTCTCATCACATCCAAAGCCCCCACCTCCTTAAGCCGTAAGAACGTAAGTAGAAACAGGCCCAGGTACGGAAGATGCGAACCCAGGTAACAAGAGAAGAATCTCCCTGCACTTACTAGTCTAAGAGCCGGAGGATTAGATGGAGTCTGGACTGCGGTGTCTCCCAAGCCATAGAGAAATTTTCAAAATTAAATCCTTGTCATGGAGGGACCAATCGTAACCATGGTCTTTCCACGATTCGCTCGCCCGGAAGTGAAGTCTGGCTTGTGACTGGCTAAGATAGCACCAGGCTCTGGCCAATTAGAGTTGAGACGCTCACGGGACGAATAAGGGAAAGGCGGGAGGGAAGGGGAGGGGACGCTGAAGAGAAACGAAGGTGTGTCCACGCCCTCTATGCTGTCTGTGGAAGATTTTGTGTAATGTTGGTGCTTCTTCCGATGCACCAATCGCAAGGTCTTCCTGCTGAGTCCTAACTATGAAATTGAAAGTAGAGAAGGTGGAACAGCCAGTGAAAAAAAAGTGTACAGCAGCCAATCCTCCTGCGGCATTTTGTGTCTTTGCCCAACAGGAAAATGTGTTTCATGCGGAGGGGCGTTACCCAGTCTCCAGTGGGCGGGCGTCGGTGAATCTGCGGAGCCAATAAGTGTGAGACGTGGAGTGACAGCTGTCCAATAGGGACCTTCAGTGCTAGTACGGTTTGTGGCTTAGGCGCCGCCGCGGTCTGAGGAATGTCAACTATTCAACATGGAGGCGGAGGTCGATAAGCTGGAACTGATGGTGAGTGCAAAGTGAAGGAGATCTCCTGGGTAGTTTTTTTCTCCCATGGCTTCGAAGGTCGGACACAACTTGGAGTCGCCGGAAAGTCTGGGCGGCGGAGGCTGGGCCAGACTTGAGTTCCCTCCTCCTGCACGAAAGGGAGTCGCCACCGCCCGGTCCCTTTTAACCGCCGCAGGGAAGGGGTTACATCCGGGAAACTCGTGAGGGAAATGGCGGGAGATGCCGAGGGTGATGGGCCTTTGGAATTCCTTGTTCCTTGCCCTTAACCTTTCCGCCCCTAAAGAAACTGTATCTGGTGCACACAGCGTTCTAGCTTTTTCCACCAAAAGACGTGACTGGAACGGTCCCTAAACGCCCCTAGAAGGGGAGGTCGTTCATACTCCAAGAAAGGGGGATGGAGGGTGGGGTGGGAATAACCCGAAGGAGGTACCTCCCTTTAGGGCTGAACCGTTCACGCTCTCGAAGGCGGGCTGTGGAAGTCTGAGAATGGATACTCGGGACTTGCGTTCACAACTTCCTAGCGATAAGGAAGCCCCTGGTTCTGTTTCTGTTTGTCCCGGAGGTGGCAATCTTTGGGTGAAGGAGGGGTGTGAGCGATGCGGATCTGAACCACGAGCTTCTTTCCTGCAGCGCGGGTGGGAGTGGGACGAGGAAGCCACTCTGCGCTAGAGTTGCCCAGTTTCATTCATTTGTGAAAGTAGGCGGAGGCGAACTGGAAACGACTCCCGTTGCACCTGGCAAGTTTGGCCTGCACTAGGGCGCCAAGCTGGGGGGGCTGACCTTCTAGGGATCCTTCCCTCACTTGCCCTTTTATACCCTCTCTCCCGTTTCTTGACTACCAGCTTGATCGCCCGCGCTTTTTTGTTCTTTCAGTTCCGTTGTTCTGTCTTTAGCGTTACTTTTCCCTGGCATATCAGTCTTTTGGATTGGGCTGGCGTCCTTTAAAACATGGAAATTGGAGGAAAGCCTTCATCATTTGAGCTCCTGTCGTTTTTTGTTGTTGTTGTTGTTAAAGAAAATAACAAGATGAAATAAGAGTCCCAAACTTCTTTCTTCTCCATCC